TGCCATCCCATCCACTTTAGTTTGTGGAGTTCTTGGGGTTCTCTGAGCTTGGGTGTTTTCTTGCAAACGTTTCGTTACCCAGATAGGTAACATCTTCAGTGCTAGAATGTTACCTAGCCGGGTAATGAAACATTTGCGAGAAAACAACCAAGCTCAGAGAACCCCAAGGACTCCACAGTTCAACCCTGAACTACACATATTCTCTTCTATTGGTACCAATTTAGTTTTAAACTTCTTAGAGGAAACCAGTAACATGATGACAATCTGGGTTCCAGCAGAAGGCTGCCCCAAACACATGTAACCCCTCTGAGGAGCAGGGTCTGTGAGCCTCAGCCACCCACTCACTTCACAAAAGAGAGGAACCAAAAGCAGCTTCTGAGATTAATGAAATAAAATATATACATATGGTCCCATGCTGAGTTCCTTATCAAACTACCCTGGAAATCACACCACATGCATTGGAAAGTATAGCTATCAGCTCAAAAAAAAAAAGCTTGGTTGAAGCAAATGGAAGAAGTTCTAGGAAAACATAGACTCAACCTGATAGACACAAACAACTGGCCCACAATGAAGAAGAATATGGTATGGGACATCAGCAGACCCATAGTACTTACAACCACATACTGGTTACCAGATGCAAGCTAAGGACTTCACATTCAAATTCAAGTGAATCAAAATGACAGACTAATTAACTCCATTAATTTTGTCTAACAGATACAAGCAAGTGTGGATCAATGACTTGAACTCCTTGATATTTAATCTTCAGACTCCATTATGTCCACAAAACCTCAAAAATCAACTCTCTTCTGAAGAACACATTTGCCAAACACCAATGCTAGTGGCACTGACCTACAAATCCTTCAGCAACTTGACTCTACATAATATAAACAGTACTACAAATCAAACCTGGAGCTAATCTGCCAATCAAATTCAATATAAACCAATGCCCTATTATATTATCAATTATCATACTAACTTGCAGAATTAATAATTCTTACTATATTAGAACACTTAAATCAATAGATATATTTTTTGTAAAAATTAATGTAATTTACTTTAGATATCTTTACTGTCCACATTAATAGAAAAGTATGGAATAAAAAGTAGCAGGATTGAAATTCTTTCACAAGTTTAAATACACAAATATTGAAAACATGATTAGAAATGCACAATATACAAATGGATAATTCTTTAGCTATCTTCTCACTCTGTTTCAAATTCTTTACCTGTCTCAACTTTTATCTCCATATATGCATATTAATGTCTGAACGTCCATCTCTGAAATTTAAACTGAATTGCTGAATCGAATTAAAAATTCTCTGAACATTAGTTATCAAGCTCCACATACATGAACATGTTAATGCATGGGGAAAGAACTTTTTACCTGTTGGAACAAATAAGGTATGTCCTTGCTTCACAACACATTTATAACACTTGTCAACATTATCTCCAAAATACACTTCACTCTGGGTAACAGATGAACTCCAGGATTCATAAATTGCCAGGTTATCATTAGTAGGTTTGATCAAGTAAAAGATCTTTTCACCCTATGCATAGAAGACATTTCACAAGAGGTTATACATCTTTGATAATTTTGTATAACAACCATTAATATCACATAGGACTGCAACATAATGGAGGTATAGAATTTTATTGCTGTTTAGAAAGAAATGAGAAGTAGTAATAGAAGCTTATTGGAGTTAGGAAAAAATGATGGGATGGGAGAAAATAATTTCTGGGATCTACACAGTTAGATAGACAAAATCATAGAAACCTATGCAATTTCCTTTGTGCATAGCAGAACAAGCAATTCAATAGGTTAAGTGAGACAATTGTATTAGTTTCTCCAATCATTATGCTTATTAATATATATACTAACCTTTTAAAAGTTGTAACAGTACACAAGAGTATGACAAATCTTTATTATCCTTTTACTGAAGAAATGGTTTCAAGTGAGATATGTAAAAGAAACCATTCAAGATTTTTAAAATGAGAATACTATACATTTGCCTATTAAAGAAGTTAACATAGTTTTCTTACCCAAAGAACGTGATACCAAACAGAAGTGCCCCCAAAATCAATATGAAAATCTGTGTAGCTATCTTGAACTCCCATTAAACAGTACTTCTGAACAAAAGGCTTAGGGAAGACTGAGTCATCTGGCCAGTAATTTTCAACCCATGAAAGTTTTCTGGCAATTTCAGGAACTTCCACTAATTCAGACATCCTTTAAAATTCAAAACAAGAAATTTAATTTAAACAAGAATATGATGACTAAGGTTTTTTTTTAATACATGAAAATGTGGAAAATCTTTCCCCCTAGTCATATTTTCATATCACTATTTAGATAGAACAGTTAATGATAAACACCAAAGAGAGAGAATCAGTCCATTATATGATTTATTTAATTATGTTAAATAATTACTATTTTGTAGATTTTAAATATCTGATTCATATGAATATGTGTGCATATATATATGTGTGTGTGTGTGTGTATATGTGTATATATTCAAATTGGGAAGATCCCTATCTTATTACATGATAAGAAATAATTTTTCATGCTGCTTGGGTTGTTATATCAGGAGCCTTAATCCTTAAATTAGATAATTAGAAGTCATGTAACAGTATGAGATCACATAGTAGATTTAGTGGATTATCTTACTAAAATACATGAGAACATCCCACACAGGTTGATCTCTACATCTGCAATAACTTGTCAATTCCTGCTGTTTCTTTTCTTCTGTATCAAAAGCATATGTATAAAATGCTAAGAAAGGGAAGTTTTTTTATATATATCCCTCTATAGGATTAAATAATAGAATTACTCAGAACTGCACTATTAAATACAATGTGTTTAGCGTTTAGCACTTGCTCATAATTTGGTTAAGAGGCATAAGCCCAGGCATTGCATTCATTTTTTAATTAAAAAATTAAGGATATTTTTTTAAAGTAGAGCTTTCTATAACAAACATTTTAAAAATATTTTTACCTGCCTTCCATTATAAGAAATACATGTAGGTAAGTCTTTTCCAAAGAAAAAGCAATTGCATTCATTCATCCTTTCAACTAAGTTATTTTAGGGTAAACCTAAGCTTTAAATATGCATCATAATCAATTACTATTATATTTGCACTTATCTCTAACTTGTCACATTCCACCTTTCAACTTCATATTTCATTACTGCAACTGTTCAGAAAATCTTGCAATTATTGCTATATGCTTTAGTTTAATATAAACCTTTTTCTTTCTAGATATACATATGAAAATTGTATACTCACTTTGTGTCTGAGAATTCAAGGCTTATCACATTTAATACTTTTGGTCTCTCAGGATTTGTAAAATACTTAACATAATTATGGAGCTTCATTTTGCTATCTGCTTGTCTTGCCACATCAATAACATCTATCACTTTATCACCACCTGTAAAAATAAAACACATTTAAGTCTCCACATAAACCAATCAACAGACATCTCTAGAAATTACATCTCAGGATTATGGGAATATAGTAATTTGTACTTAAGTAACTGCATCTATTAAAAATACTAAAAGCTATCTAAAATAAGTAATAACATTTATATTTTATATTTTACTAATATAAAGCAAAATATGAACAGCACAGATACAGTTATGTAGAAACATAATGGTTGTCCCTCTTGCATAATCCAAAATGTATCAGTCTTTCTGAAAATCCTGAAACTGTTAGTTAAAGAAAAAATATAGCTATTGAACTGTAGCTTTTGGAGTATTCCATTCATTCAGGTGAGATTAACCTAAAGACATGATATTTAAAGCTTACAGCTGAAACCGAAGTTGTAATCTTTGGAGAATTCAACTTGAAGTATTCTCAGAAACTGTCACAAGCTGCTGCCAACAAGAAAAATTGTTTCTGAACTTCCAACCTTTATCATTTTCAAATTCACCTTCCCAAGATCAACTTAGGATCCATGTATTTAGAACATTCCCAGTTCTACTTGCAGATGTAAATTATAAATGAAGCCTGCAAAGAAGCCTATGTTGTATTGGTACTGCATGGTGGTAAGAGTTAGCATCACGTCCAGAGAACAGAATGGAAAAGGCTACCCCCCGTCCCCTTAGCATTCGTACATATTTACTTAGGTAATTCTATCTCAAACTATGAGAACCATAAAATATTTTAGAAAAAATGTTAAACCCATTTATTTTTCCTTGCCTTTTTGCATCCTAACCAACAGTCCATACCTACATAATGTTCCACATCTAGAACAGAAAATGTAGAAGGTGGGAGTCTGAGGCCTAAGCCATCTAACTTAGGTACCATAATGGGAACATCAAACCCATGCTTTTCCAGGTATCTTTGCGTCAATTGGCTTCCATGCATTTTCAAAATGATTTCATCAGCACTAGAAAGAAAAATACATACATACATACATATATATATATACACATACACGTATATTATTTTAAAAATGAACAGAATTTTAAAAATCCTGCTGTATCATTCCTAACCCAAAAGAGCAATGAGTAAATGTTCAAGCAGTAGAAATATTTTTCATTTTAAGTGAAATATAACGTTTCTGCCCTCCCCAACATTTATTGTATCTAGTAATTTTCAATAGCTTGCCTTAACTGATCATAATGTTAACATTTGCCACTGAAATAATTTTTCCAGAATAAATGTTTTTAGTGTTATTGGACATTTAGCTCTAACTTCCTCAAATAAACATAGAAACTCCCAATGAGACTCATATCCTCTAGCATGGTATAGTTTAAAGCATGAGTTCAGAATCATTATTTGAAGCAACTACATATACCATAGAATTTCCCACCTTACATGATTTCTAATGCAATCAGTCTTACCTTGGGAATGAACGGGCACGTAGCTGTTTAACAAAAGTTCGGGTTCCAGCTTGAACTGGCTTTGAACCATCATCATATTCTGTATAGTCATGTCTGTGCCAGTTTCTTCTCTTCTTCACTATATGGTGAAAAATAATGGACTTATAAGCGTCAATTTAGGATAGGGAAGGCTCAAATCCTATTTAGCCTTGAAATTCTCTGGGAGGCCTTAGGCCAAAACTATTTCTCACAGAAATGAATCTCACAGGGTTCTTGCTAGGATCACACTGGAGAGGGAAGAGAATGAGGAAAGAGGAAAATGTACATCACCTTGAACTTTTTGGACAATAAGGGCATTCCTGTAAGATGTAATCCAACTGTCCATTCTACCCTTTCTTCAATATACTGTATTCAGATCAGTCCCTCCATTTTTTTCTAACAATCCCTATCATGTTAATTTTAGCACATATAATTGGCCCAAGGTCACTGAAAAAATATTTGTTGTTGAGTGGGGATTTGAATTAAAGCTCCCTGTTTTCTGTCAGTAAAAGTAAATGAATTTCAGATCAGGTCCTGCCACTAGTAAATTATTATTAAAACTTTCCTTTACCCAGAATTGAAGGAAAGCTTTTTAAAGATATACTAAAAACTGGATAGAGTTTCATTCAAATAGCTGCAGTGATATTATATCAACATTCCAAACTGAAATACTACAATACATAAAAAATTGTTAATGACAGGATTTGGTATCATGCCAACTGGAATATATTCTAGAGATACACTTTTAATCATTTGCAGTCTATTCATGCAAGACATTCAGTACTGGTTAACATGTAGCTGTAGACTTTGAGCTATTCCACCTAGGTGTTTCTTGTTCACTAAATCATCCATTATTTCAGAACTGATAAACTCTGTTGCTACAATTATGTGAATGCAGAAATGTATTATAACAGTTTAAGCTTGCCTTTCAAATGTACAGGTTAGATTTTGCCACACAAAATAAGTATGAAATCTTAATTTTAAAATCAATATTATTAAACAAATTCTGCTTACTTCTGTGGCAAACAAGACTTCAGAGTAATTGGAATCCAGCAATAAAGATTTATGTTTGCCTGGATAAGTCTATAAAAGGACCAATGTTACAAGATAGCCTGCATGTGAAAACTGTTTTCAATATTTTCCGATTAAAGTTGTCCCCATAGTGCAAACCAATTTATGTAACAGCTCACCACAGGAACTGCAGCATTTTCTGCATATTGCAACAGATGGAGATAAACACCACACCTTCAAGGACTCACAGAGTTTACAATATATTCAACAGCAGCTGCAAAAGAAACATTTAGCCATAGCCCTGTGGTATCCTTGTTGTATGTAACAACCTTCAATATGTATATTTGTATGCAAACAATGCATATCACTTTATCCAAATGTGCACACCTGTTTCTTCAAAGTCAACTATCATTTTGGAAAGTAGCCAGCGGCATCTGACAGTTTTTAAGACAGGCAGCTGAACTACAAAAAATGTAAGACAAAGCCTCTAAGGTAACTGATCCCAGCTAAAAAATATCTGTTAATGGCCAGTATTACAAATAATCACAGCTTACAAATTACATATTAAAAGGTAAATGATTACTTCATACAAGATGCTCAATATTTACACTAAAAAGAGTTGAGTGGATTTAATAACAATAAAGCACCATTTCAACATCACATTTGTAAACTAAATTACTACAGTATTTTGTATGCTGCAGAGCCTAGTAAGATTGAATACATCTGTTGCACAGATGAACACAACATACATTAATCAGCATTATATTGTTTTTGTATTTGAATAGTGACTCAATTTGAAATTTAGATGGCAATGCAAATATTGATACTAGCGAGGATGAACTACATACATAAAACCAGATTGGCTTTATTTCCATAGTAGGTTTGTTCAGGGATTCATAGATTCTTCCCCAAAGGTATTTTCTTCAAGACCTTTTGGGTAATCAGAATTGTTGGATTATCTCAATATGTCCCTTTCCCAGCACATGAAGCAGAGCATATTCTCAATTTCAACTTTGCATAAGAATATGAAAAAGGTAATTTAAAAATAGAAGCAACTAGTCATTACTCTTGTCACTGTCAGAACACTTTTTTGGACAGGTTTTGGACTGATGGCCATTTTATATACTTGCAGAGATAGCAGACAGATTAGGATGGTCTGTCCTAAAGATGTATGAAAAGCTCTGGGGCATGACAGAACTGTTGAAACCCCTGTATCAATATGGAATGGTAAAGTGAGACAGGCCACTGACACAACTGATCTCTTATACCTATGGCTGTGAAGCTTAGGCAGCCTCCTGAAGATTTACAAGAAATGGAGCAGATCAGGTATAACCAGCAGACATCTTGTGAAGATGATCAACTATGGAGCAAAGTACATTACTGTGCTTATCAAATGACAATAATAAGTGGTAAAGGTGTTCTTCATTGTCATCACTGCACTCTTATTCAGCTGTCCAATATAGCTGTTTTATGTGGTTCAGAGACTTTAAATATCCATCTTAGCAAATGAGGTGTTGGAGCTCAAAAAAATTTGCTAAGACATATTTATAAGGCATTTTAGCAAGTTCAGACAAAGTACTTTATACCTTATCTGGTCCATTTTTGTGGGATCAGTTTGAGTTCTTGAGGACCAAAGATATGGAAAAGACACCTGAAGCTATGCAATTGACTACATCCCCTTTCAAACCGTCTTTTTACAGTTGACTTAGTCTGATCAATGAGACTGATTGGATGGGTCAGAGGGATAGATGTCAGACTATCTAGAAGAAGTGACAAAATGCCCACTTCTCAAGAAACTCCTCTGGACATTACAATTATTAACAGTTACTGAATAATTGCTATTTTCTTAAGAATAATCCTTCTTAAGAAAAGCATTTGAGAAAAGAGTAGCTGTACAACTTCAGATGCTCATGGAAAACAGTTGATTTGGCCCTTTTTCAAGCTGGATTCAGGCCTGGTGCAATTTTGATACAACTGACCTTGCTAACCTTGTGAATCAGCTCAATGAGTTAGAAGTTGGGGACACCTAACTGCAACGTCAAATACAAAATATTCTTTAGCATGAACTGAATCATCTTACATCAGCCTCACCACAACTAAGCTGTAAGAATCCACTTTGCCCCAAGTGCTGTTTAACATACATATATATGAAAGTGCTAGAAGTGTTTATTTCATTAATTTGCTAATGATACCAAAGTGTATTGCTCTGAATCTTCCAAGACAGAACCTGTGTAGCCCTGAGCTAATGCTTGGATGCAGTATGGGCTAGATGAAGATCAATAAAATGAGACTGAATTTTGACAAGTTATGTTATTCTGAACATGCCCAGAAATTTGCCCAGGAATTTGGAAGGCTGCCCTATTCTGGATAAAGCTGTAAGGGAACAGGTACATAGTTTAGAGGGGCACTTAGAGCAGGAATTTGGAAGGCTGCCTATTCTGGATAAAGCTGTAAGGGAACAGGTACACAGTTTAGAGGGGCACTTAGAGCAAATATTATTTATGGAGACACAGGCCATTTCTGTGCCAAGGACTACTTTAAGGATTTAATGGTATTGTGTCAAGGACTTAAAGACTGAGGATTTAAGACTACTAACTCATATTGCCAAGGAATACAGCACAATTGGGTAAAAGCTAAGTGAAAGCTTTCAAAACACTGGATCTCAAACTGGATGAATCATAGTTTATTCCATCTAAAATATTTTTTTCTGTAAACTCAAAAACTGGGTGAGTGATTCCCAAATTATTTGTGGCAGTAGGGAGCTACATTTATGAAGACCACAACAGCAATCTTCCTCTACACTCAGCACACCAAGATAACTTCAATGAAAGCTTGCCAAAAAAAAGAGAGAAAAAGAGGTAATTTGGTTTTGCTGCAAAGCACTCTTATAGGTGTTCCTTCATATTTCATATCAAGGTACTATCAGGATAAAGCAGTAAGGATGCTCTAATATTTTTATGTCCAGAGCAATAGGTAGGTTGAAATGATGATGATGATGATGATGATGATGATTGCATTTGTTGTTGCTGTTGTTGTTATTATTATTATTTTAAAAAATCAGCTTCTCAAGTGTCAGGGTATATGGCTGTCACATCTTCAGATGGACAATGATGAAAACTAGGGCATTTTGGGGGGGTAGAGAGATTTTAAATTAAAATGTGTTGTTTGTTTTATCTGACAAAAATCAAACACTGATTTTCTAAATTCTGCTTCTGAATTATAGTGGTACATTTGAAGTAGGGGTAGTAAAAGAAAAAAAATGTAATTCCTTCTGATTTTATTCTTCCAGTCTCCTTGCTTTTAAGAGAAAGATGAACAAAGAAAAAGGACCAAAAGCAGTTCACTTGGCTTGAATCCCAGAAGACACCAGCTATCTGACCACTTAAGAAATAAGGACAAAAACTCCAATTTTCATTACTTAAATATTGATAGACACACCTACTATTCAGTCTGCAAGAAAAAAAACTTAGCTATATTATTGTTCTGAAGTATAGACAATGACAAACAGCAGGTTGGATTGCAGGAGTACAGCAAAGGATAGCAAAAATAGACAAGCTTACAACTATTTGGAAGATTATGTGATTTAAAAAAAAAAACTTCTTTTACTCTTCTGTTGTGGTGCTATTTTTCATTTTTGACTGTTTTGAGCACTATGATTGGGCTGCTGCTAGACTGGATAACTTTTTTCAATCTTTGTAACCAGTACAGCAACAAGGAGCAGTCATATCCCTACAGCCTACTTAAACCAGATTGGTTGCAGTTGGAATGAAATATGATGGGGAGAGCATTATTAAAGACATGGCCTAACAGAAGAAAACTGCTTAAATTTATCTTTGTTTTTTAATTGTTTTTAATGCCTCTCAATTTCTTTAAGGATACCTGTGCTGTTTATGTTATAAAACTCTTGAAGTTTCTTTTAATAATTGAATGGTGGAATACAAATTATTTTACAAATAAATACAAATGAAGTAAAATAAATAGTTTTTATTTATTTCTAATAGTGAGATACAAAACCTACAGAACCAATAGAAAATAAATAAATAAATAAATAAATGGTAGTTATACAATGAAGAAAACTACAGGTAGTCCTCGGTTAACGATGACTCGTTCAGCAACCATTCAAAGTTACAACGCTGTTGAACTAGTAGTAATAACCAGTCCTCAAAGTTCCGGCCATCCCAGCAGCCCCACGGTCACATGATTGTGATCTGAGCACTTGGCAACCAGCTGTTGCAGCGTCCCACAGACACATGATCACCTTTGCAACCTTCCCTGCCGGCTTCCCACAAGGAAAGTCAATGGGGAAGCCGGCAGGAAAGGTCACAAGTTGCTCGGGTGAGTCTCCCCCACCTGCGCAACCTCCCCCAGCCTCTCTGCACTCATGCCGTGCCTTGCCAGCCACCTGCACACTCTTGCACACCCTCCCCCACCCAGCAGTAGCCACCACCACTGCACTCAGGCTGCCCTCCCCAGCTACCTGCACACCCTCGCACACCCTTCCTGAGCTTCGCTGTGCTCACACCGCACCTCTCCTGCCATCCATGCACCCTCACGCACCTCTCTCAGCCTCACTGTGCTTGCACTGCACCTTGCCAGCTACCCACACACCCCTGCATACTCTTCCCAAGTCTCACTGCACTCACACCGCACCTCGTCAGCCATCTGCACTCCCTCTCCCACCCAGCAGCAGCCATCCCCACTGCACTCGCGCCGTGCCTCCCTGGCCACCTGTGCACTCTTGCACATCCTGCTCAGCCTCACTGCACTTGCGCCGCGCCTCACCAGCCACCCGTGCTCCCTCTCCCACCCAACAGCAGCCACTTACCTGCCTGCCAGCCTGCTTGTAAGCCACCTGGGACTTGCAAATTCCTGCTGGCTTCCCCACTGGCTTTGGTTGTTGGAAGCCAGTAGGAAGTTGCAAGGAAGTCCTCACTTAACAACCCATTAAACTCATTTAACAATGACAAAGGGAACTGCAGGGATTGCCATCACTAAGGGATGCAGTCACATGATGCCACACTTTACAACTGCATCACTTACCGATGGAAATTCCAGTCCCAATTACCTTTGTTAAGCAAGGACTACCTGTAGATGTGACCAAAAGAAAAGAAAAAAAATTAACTGAAAAAAATTCATGTAAAAATTGTTGATAGCAATATAAAATTAATTCAATCCTTAAGCTTATTTTTAAATGTAGACCACACAGAAATATGTTGTTTCATATTCTCGTTATTAGAACACAGAGATTTAACAGGGTCTTGATAGAGCCAAAGCTCTTCATGAGAAAACGATTTCCATGATTTAGGAACAGAATTCAACAACACATTATGCTCAAGTATAGTATTTCTTCTCAAAACTGTACTCACATATATAATGATTTGAAACTAAAACAAGGCTAGAGCTGAGATCGTATAAGTTAAAGAATCTTCAAACTTCTTACAGCAGCAATACAAAAAAAGGAATGTCCATCCCTTTTTAAACTTTTTTTGAAGAGCCCAACAAACACAAAATAATATTTCTGATGTATTGTTTTCATTTCTAAAACCATAAGAAGTATATTTTACATTTCCTAATCCCTGGATCTGCTGAGTCTTCAAAATTAGATTTTCCACTTTTTCATTCCACAATTCAGAAATGTACCTAATACTAACTCTAATTTTAATATATATAAATATTATATATGTATGTATGTGCTATATTATTGTTCTGAAGTATAGACAATGAC